ACACCCAGGGGCCTTGAACCCTTTAATAGATTTCATGGCTTTCCAGATCTCCTCATTGGACAGAGGTTTACAAAGATCAGTATTCTCTTTAGTCAAGAAAGAGGTCATAGAGTCCATGTTCCACACCTCTCTATCCACTAGGGAGGGAGAAGTGAACATACTCTCAAAATGATCACCCACATGCTGTTTTAGGTCATTAGGATTATAAATCCAGCAACCACTATCATCTTTCAGGGTAATCACCATCGAGTTTCTTCTTTTGGCTAAAGTAGAAACATGGAAGAACCTGGTATTTCTTTCTCCCATAGTTATCCACTTAGCCCTAGACTTTTGAAACCAAAGTAACTCCTCTTGACACAAAACATTATTATAATCTTTCACAAGCTCTTTTTCAGGAATAAAGAGATTATGGGAAAATTTGCTAGATTGGGCCTTTTGAATACCTTGATTTCTACCTAGAAGCCATCGCTTGTTATGAAAAATGTTACCAAAAATAGATTTGTTCCAAGAAGAAGCTTTAGAAGAAATGCTGGGGATAGTTTCAAGAATAGAATTGTTAGTTTCTTGCCAGTATTCTTGGACCAGAGATTTAAACCTGTCATCCAGAAACTAGGCAACCTCCATTCTAAAAGGTCTAAGAGAGGGGTCAAGGAGATGCGTATCTTCAGTGTAGATAATCAAAGGGCAATGGTCAGAATAAGTTCTGGGGAGATTTCGAACTGCTCCTTCTTGAAAAAGAACTCTCCATTTAGTATTGCAAGCAACCCGATCTAATCTTTCAAGAGTATTAGCCATACCTTGACGCCCATTAGTCCAGGTGAGATGAGGTCCAGAACAGCCCAAATCCATGAGATTATACCTATTCAACCTGGCAGCAAACTTCCTGGTCTTAGCATGGCTATGAGAAGGCACAAAGCTTCTTTTTTCATTTTGGCTAACAAAATCATTAAAATCACCAACAACCAGCCATGGTTTTGACATGTTATCAGCCATGGATTCTAAGTTATCCCACAAAGTATCACGGCTTTTGAGATTGGGACTGGCATACACTGTCGATAGAATCCAATCAGGAAAATGGTCACGCTTAATTTTAGTGTGGATAACTTGAGGGTTAGCATCTAGGGCCATAATAGTCACTTTTAAAAGGTCCCAAAGGAGCCATAAAACACCCACAGGATCAACAAAGGTAGATGCAGTAAAACCAAGGTTGTTGAAGAAAAGGCCTATAGAGCTGAGTGAAACTTTTGTCTTCATCAAGACAATAATGGTTGGGTTGTGGTTTTTCAAAAGCTCACGTAGAGTGCACTTGAATACACTGGTACCAACTCCACGACAATTCCACACTAGCATCTTCATAGATGATGAGTTAGGATACTGTGGCAGTGGACTATAATCAGGAGTTCCTAGAATTTTCTTGACTCGAAGAAGATCATTCACCATGGCTCTTGTTGAGCCTATCAGAATGCTGTGGTTGGTGGCCTCGTAGCTCATCAAGTTAAGATCTATCTTTACCCGAGCTTCTTCTATCCACCACTCTATTGCGATTATGTGAGTAGCTTCGATCTTTGGGTCTATTACAATATACATTTGGTTGCAGCTCACTATGTGCTGGATCACGTCGTAGACTTCTATGATCACTCACCACTGGTTTCACTTGGGGAGAGATAGGGATATCTATGGACACTGGAGGAGGGGAAATGTTTCCTAGTTCAAGAGATAGAGATGAAGACTTACCAAATCCAGTAGCAGCTATGCGCTTTAGAATTCCAACCACTCCCTCACAGTAGGTGTGGCGATACAACTATCCTCACCTCTAGTATGGTCCAACTCCTGAAGACTGTCAAAAGGATTTGGGCTAGTGTACACAAAGCTACCACTAGCATTCATGATGCTATTACCCAGACTATCACGTGGACTGCCATGCTTAGTGTGCCCTTTTGTAGTATTAGGATGAAACTGATCATCAAATTCCTTTTGAGGTTGTGACTCTGTAACTTGGGCTAAGGTAGAGGCTTTAAACCCATTACCATTAAATGATGAAGCCAATCTGGGCTTCTGGCCTCTTTTCCTTTGAGATTTAGGATAAGGCCCATTAGAGTAGCCTTTATTGACTTTCTTTTTACCTTTCCTGTTCACTAGCATCCAAGGCCCAAAGTGTTCCCCTGAAGTCTCCAAGGGTTCAAAACTTAGAGCGAGAGCACTTGGGCTTGGGCCTTCCTTGCTTCGGTCTACCGTGCTAACGGTAATAATCTGGGAACTTGGTTCACCAGTCAAGGGGCTACAAGCCGGCGGCAGAGCTTTCTCACTACACCATTCTTTCTGGTGACCTACCCTGCCACAGCTGAATTAAAACATATGTAAGTATTCATATTCAATATTATAATTATACTTACCAATTGAAAATTGAAAAATAAGGGGTTTTTGAGATCCATCTCAATGCAGACTCATGCATATTTCCTTCTGGTTATCGTCGTCGTATTCAGGTCAATCTTCAAGGGTTTACCTAAGGTCTTCGCTATATGAAAGAGCACCTTCTCATTGTAATACTCGATAGGGAGTTGAGGGAATCTCACCCAAAACGCAGTTTGAATTTCTTCTGCAGTAGCGGGTTTGAAATTTGGTTGTCACTTTCTGACTGTTAGGTAATGGTCTAGGACAATCCAAGGGCCTCCAGTGTAGACATAGGTATAATCTTCCTTCAATTGGAACTTGAGGAGAAAGAAACCTGCTTCCAGATCTATAGCCTCGAAATCTCCCTGGAGATCCCAAAGTTTCTTGATTTTGAAAAGCAACAGTCTGTAGCCAACCTTTTTGCCCATCAATTTAATAATAAGGCAGTTCCTCCATGGCCTCCTAATCTTAGCCAAAAGATTTTTGGGTAGTGAGATGCGTGGCATCCCCTGAGATTCAATTTCAGGGACTTTATCTTCTTCGATCTCTTCACCCTTACTCTCGAAATCATCATCCGTCGACAGGGTGCCTAGATCCTCATCAAAGGGTCTCTCATTGAGACGTCGATCAACTAGAGCAGCCTTGAAAGATTTAAAGGAGTGGATATGGATTTGCCATCTGCTGGGACTGACTTTCCTTCGAGTGGCTCTGTCTGCGTTTTGGTTATTGGCCTATCTAACATGGTATCATCATCGCCGACAATAGTTTCTTTAACCTTCTTAGTGCTATGCTGCAGGTGGTCCTCTTCCTCGTATGATTTTCCTTCGAGATGACCGCTACTACCTTCAGAGAGTAGAGAGTTAGAGAGAGAGAGAGCCATCACTATTTTTTTGTAAGTTCTTCTCTGTGTCTTCGACTACTAATTTTTTTTTTTATACAGGCCTTCTATTGTATAGGATATTGATTCAATATAATCATTCAATACAATACTATGAAAAATCATAATATTCACTACAAAATCGTAATATTCACTACAAAATCGTAATTGAAGTATACAATTTTGGGAGTGCACATTATATTATTTTTCAAATTTCCTATCTTTTCTCAAGGTTCGATTTGATCCTATCTTCTCTTAATTACTCGTATCCTGAAACCTTCCTTGTCTCATTCACCTGGGTTCTGCCATTTTCTTCAATTTGGTGGTTGTTACGGTTTGCAGGGGTTTCTGGGTTTCTCAGACACAGACACCATTGTTCTCTCTCTCTCTCTCTCTCTCGGGTTCTATTCAAATTGGACTGGTTAGGCTGCAAAATAGTACATGTATTATTTATTTATTTTAATTTTTGTTTGAATAAAAAATATACTTTAGAGAAAAAATACATCTAAAAAGATTTTATCATGGGCGTAATAAATAAATTTTATAATTACTATGTATTTTTGCTAACCCGATTAAAAAGTTGTCGATTTTTAATTTTATAATATTTATTTTGTTTATTGAACATGATTAGGATGCCATTTCTAATTATGATATTGGATTGAGTTAGACAAAATATTGTATATTTTCTAAGTTTGGTCCAAACCTAACTCGGCTAATAGTACTTCTCCAGAAGGGGAAATTTTTCTAATTTTATCGTTAAAAAGATTAAAAATTAAAATATTTTATTCGTAAATTTCGTAGTCCCTAAATTGTCTTTAAAACCTTATACTGAATTTTTACTCCTTATTTTGATATAATGTGATGAGCCCTTGGGCCCAAACCAGAAGCACAGACTAGTCTGCAAACCAGAATAGCCTATTTTGTCTTTTGTGGCTAAAATAGCCTTTTGGCGACTAATATTTTAGTCGCCAAAAGATAACCTTTGCCGACTAACCAGAGTTTAGTAGCCAAAACGTTCACTTTCAGCGACCAAAAATAGTTTAGTCGCCAATACTATCGCCGACAGGGTATAGGCGACTAGTTTGGCGACAAAATATTTTAGTCGCTAATTGTTTCGGCGACCAAAAATGGGGCTTTTGGCGACCAATATTTTGGTCGCCAAAAGTGGCATTTCCTGTAGTGCTAATAGTACTTCTCCAGAAGGAGAAATTTTTCTAATTTTATCGTTAAAAGGATTAAGAATTAAAATATTTTATTCGTAAATTTCGTTGTCCCTAAATTGTCTTTAAAACCTTATACTGAATTTTTACTCCTTATTTTGATATAATGTGATGAGCCCTTGGGCCCAAACCAGAAGCACAGACTAGTCCGCAAACCAGAGATTGGAGAGTGTAACTTTCCAATTGCAAAGCGTCTCAACTTCCTAAACCAAACAACACTTAAAGTCCTCACTAGAATATATTAATCAAAGGCCTATAATTCATTGTATTTGACTTCAAGTGGAAGACTTAGCTTCCTCCAAAAGAAACCACTCCAAGTCCATATTAAGTTGAGACAAACACACAAAATATTGATGAACCACCTCTTGAAATTCATCACCATCTAATATTACCATCCTTCACTAAATATAGTCAAACCAAAATGCAACACTCCAATAAAATAATCCCACAAGTTTCCTCCCATGGCTTCTTTCTTCTACTCTCTAGCCATGAATTGCATTACATATACACTTGGCACTTAGGTGTTTCATATCCAGTGTGTCCTCCAAAAGCCATGGCAATGAACAACTTCATTGTGGCTTTGGTTATTCTTTGCATCAACTTCAGCTTATTTGCAAATGGTGATGATAATCCAGGTTTAGGAGCTTCATTTGTCTTCGGCGATTCGTTGGTTGATGCAGGGAACAATAACTTCCTTTCGACATTGTCTAAAGCTAATATTCCTCCAAATGGGATCGATTTTAAGCCTACAGGAGGAAATCCGACCGGGCGATACACCAATGGGAGGACCATCGGAGACATTGTTGGTAAGATCATATATCTCTCTAGCTGTGATATGTGCACAGAAAGTTCTAAACACATAATGCACAGATGTGAGATAAAAATATATTTGCATGTGTATGTATTATGTGTTTGAAACTTTCTGTGCATCTAGAGTTTTTCATATCTATCATCCATGCATGCTATGCCTAAACATGTTCTTTATTTTGTGCATGCCCATTGTTTTGGAGTGTTTTTAATGTGTTTTTTTGTTTCTCAGGAGAGGAATTAGGACAACCACACTATGCAGTGCCTTTTCTGGCTCCAAATTCATCTGGACAAGTTATATTACATGGAGTCAATTATGCATCTGGTGGTGGTGGAATTATGAATGCCACTGGAAGAATATTTGTAAGTGCTCAAATTAACCTCCTTTATGAATTGAAAAATGATATATAAGTCCATTTTTTAAATTCGTTTTCTAAATCTAATGATATGTAAATGATATAATTGATTGATAATTAGAGACAAAATAAGAGAAAATGTTATCATTAATTTCCTAATTGATTATCACATCACTGAGCTTGAAAATTGAGTTTAATTTTTTTGTCTTGAATAGCTTGAAAAGTGCTCAAATTATTATTAATTATTTTTTTACCAATACGTAAGAGATTATTTATTAATATCATGAGAATTTATATTAAATTAAATAATTAAATATGTAAAATAATCCAACACTACGAGAAAGAGTACACGAAAATAGAAAACAGAGGGTGCAACTTCTTTGCAATTGGGACTGGAGGGATCCAGTCCAGTTTTTTGAGCCCACAACAGCGCCTGGGCCAGTTTTAATGATCCGAGAGGACATTTTACCTCCATATATGCAGATCATCTACTAAAAAAAATTAAGCTGATTAAATAATTATAATTACATAATTTTATCATATGTATTTTTTTAAAGAAAACAAATAATAAATATGATTTCAAAAATAGAAATTATGTGATTACAATTATTAAATTAATTTAATTTTTTTTCATAAATAATCTCCCCCCATGATGAATCCAATACTAAAGTGAACCAACAAACCAAACCAAGGATAACATAAAAATGCTATACGTAAATAATATTTTTTAGTATAATTTTTTTATAATTAGATATGAAAACATTACAACAAATTACAATTTTAGAGATAAAACTGTAGAGACAATCACTCTTTAGGAGCGAAAAATTTTTGTCGTAAAAAATGTCATTAATTTATTTTTAATGACGAAATTAGATATTTAGTGATGAATTATTATATTTTTTCTCAAAAAATAAACCTTTTTGGGATCAAGTTATTTTGTCGTGCTTTTATTAGTGGAATTTTCTAAATTGTCAATAAAAGCTCATTTTTTTTACTTTTCGAGACAATCTTTTAATGATTATGCTCGCGATGATAGGAATTGATTTCCAAATATATTTTGCAACACAAATTTTACTTTTGGGGACAAAAAAATTTGGATCTTAAAATTCTTGTATGTTATAGATATGAATTTTACGTATATTTATGAGTGTGAATTCCATTGTTTTCGTGTCTAGTGGTAAGTAATTATGATAACAAAAAAAATCTGTTTATGCATACCATTAATCATAATAAAATCGATTTGTGTATCAATTTTGATCGATGTTGGCTTAGATGTTAGGTTATTTACAGAAGGTGGACTCGTTTTGGTGAGCAATTTGTTATATGCAGGTTAATAGGCTATCAATGGACATACAGGTTGATTATTTCAACATTACTAGAAAACAGATAGACCAATTGATGGGTAAATCACAGGCAAGAGACTACATTACAAAGAAATCAATATTCTCAATCACAATAGGTTCAAATGATTTTCTCAACAATTATCTACTTCCAGTCCTCTCAATTGGGGCTAGGATCTCCCAAACTCCTGATGCTTTCGTTGATGATCTTATCAGCCATCTCAGGGACCAACTTACGGTACATATATATTTCCAAATACTAGAATTGCATTTCACAAGTGATATTATTGACTCTAAACACAGACAGGAATCTTCTATTCCTAAATTCTGTCTCGCTATTTCAATACACTTCTAGTCATACGATTAAATGAGCAAAATAAGATATTAGAATTTTGAAGCACGATCTTATAACTGGAAGTGCATTAAGACAGAAATATAGAGAAATTTAGACAAAAAAACTCATAATCTGAGAAGACAATTTTTCTTACTCTGATCTAGATTGACATCTTCCACCTTGCTTCCGGCAGTCCTAAGCCCAATTATATTTAGTAAATCTGTTAATATGTACAAATTAAATTTATTTTATAAATATAATAAGGATAAAATGCTAACATAATAACACAACACTCATTTTACTTTTTTTTTGTTATTTTTTATCTCTCATCTTATTCTTTGAACTCTCATCACTTATCACTCATTATTGATAATCTACTCTATCATCTTTCACTTTTATTAATACCCTCTTTTCTAAAATTACAAAGTTAACTCATTCATGTCTTGTCCTAATATATTATATCATATTTTATTTTTATCAAGGGTCTTGTTAATGACTGCCCTAAGGACTATCAATAAGGGCCATAACAGGTCAAAAATTTTATAGTTTTAATGCATTTTTCACATATTTCAAAACATTTTTATAAACTTTAATATACTTTTTACATATTTTTTAACAGTAACAGCAGCTCTTAGGGCTATTTTTTGCATTTTTCTTTTATTAATGTCATAATTTTTAAATTATAAAATAACCATCATCCGACCGATGCCCGCCCTGCCGTTGCCATCCCTACCTGTGACTTGTTACACATATCTTATCTTATAGTTAATTTTGTGACATATTTATGTTGATGACAGAGACTATATAAATTAGATGCGAGGAAGTTTATAGTGGGAAATGTTGGACCAATTGGTTGCATTCCCTATCAGAAGACAATCAATCAACTAAATGAAGATGAGTGCGTTGAATTGCCTAATAAGCTGGCTCTTCAGTACAATGCTCGATTAAAGGATCTACTAGCTGAGCTAAATGACAACCTCCCTGGAGCCACATTTGTTCATGCAAACGTGTATGATCTAGTTATGGAACTCATAAAAAACTATGCCAAATATGGTGAGTATTTTACTAACATAGAGCAATATTATTGAAAGTGTGCAGGATTCACAACATTATTGAAACGTGTATGAGTATTTTTCTTTACCAAACTATGTGCAATATTATTGAAACTGTGCAGGATTCACAACAGCAAGTAAGGCATGTTGTGGAAATGGAGGCCAATTTGCTGGGATAGTTCCATGCGGACCACAATCGAGCATGTGCTCCGACCGCGACAAGCACGTGTTCTGGGATCCTTACCATCCCAGTGAAGCTGCCAACGTTATCATTGCGAAACAACTTATCGGAGGAGACCACAAATACGTGTCTCCGATGAACATTCGACAACTCCGAGATCTCTGAGATATTGTAATTTTCTTCGAAGTTGTGTGCCGGTCTGCAGTTTGCCCCCTCCTCCTTTGAAGAATTTATGTTGAATGCAGAGATATTGGTGAATGTACTTCAATAATCAAGGCTTCATTGAATGTGGATTTATTTAACGATTAACAGCAATATATGTTTCAAGTTTTCAACTTCTTACAGGGAGTATAATAATAAAGATTGAAAGTGTGTTAGTAAAATTGTTAATGGAAGTGTCACGCTGTGTTTGGTTGGGGGATTTGAGGAGGGATTTGGAAAGGGAAAAGAAAAAGTTAAGTGAAATGTAAATAAAATATACTTACATTTCACCTAGTTTTACATACTTTTTTCCTTCCCTTTCCAATTTCCTCAACCAAACACACCATCAGTGTTCCTAGTGTTATTTTGTTTTTAATTTTAATTTTTTTTAAAAAACACTTAGCTGAAGGCATTAAAAGTTTGTGTGAAATATTTAGTAAAATTGTAACATCCAATGGCCTCTAAGCATTTGGCTTGAGATTCTCAAAAAAAACTTAATTTTATGACTAAAAAAATAAATAAAGTACATTGAATTCGAATTATACTATCATGACATTAGAAGGAGGGGACAAAGGCCCTGTTTGGTAGAGCTGTGGAAAAGTAATTATACCTTATATCTTAACAGCTTATAGTTTATAACTGTGAACATAAGCTGATTTTTTACTTATAAATTAAGTTTCTCCTTCCCCACTTAAAGAATAAGTTGATTTTTAACTTACAAAAAGTTATAAGCTCTATTGTTAAGTTAAACTAAACACATCAAAATAACTTAAATTAAGTTAAAAATTAAAATAAGTTAGAGATAAACCCTACCAAACAGGGCCAAACAATGGGACAGTCGTGCAAAGAATTCAAAACCCAGGCAAAAGCAGGTAGCTTACAAAGCCCATACTCTTGCTAAGGCCATCTTTGCTAGTCGCGGCCCTTGTTAATATTTTCCTTTATTAATGAATCTTTTCTTTTTTTTTTTTTCAATGAAAAAAAAGAGAAAGAGGAGTTGGTTTTCATCCCAAAATAAATTTCTTATCATACCGAGAGCTGATCTTCTTTAGTACACAAATATAATAAAGATCTCCATATTTTTTTTTTAATTTTGGACTTTACAATTTATTTTTTAAAAAATCAACACACCTGATGATCCCATGCAATAGGGCTTTTAAACATTAAAACAATATTTGCTTTCAAATAAATTAATTGGTGATACTATATGTATCAATTGTTATACCAATTAGTGTACCAACATATGCTATAGTATTTCCATTTCAAAATTATGACTCTACCTATTATATAAATTAAAAAAATCCAAAACTTTTAAAATTATGCCACATCATTTGTTTAGTATATCAATTGGTACATATAACATTATTCTAAATTAATACTTTTCAAAACTACACAGAGTTGGCCGAATAGGCTAGAAGTAGCTAGAAAATGAAATATAGACCGTATTTACTTTTAGTATAACCCACATGACATTTAGTTTAAATATATAATGCATATACTTCATTTTCTGATCACTTTTTAGACTACATTTTTCTTGTTCCTTAATTTTTTTTCTTAATACGTAACATCGTCATATTCCTCGGTTGAAAAATATCATTTTTCAGCGAAGAAAAACATAACAATATATTTTGAGGGGCAGAAAAATTGTCACATAATTTTTCTGACTTTATTTGAACACAAAAAAAAGACATAGTATTATCATCACACAATGATTGGGATAGCACGAAGAGGTTGATCCTTTTGTAATGTGATACCAAATCTGTCCTCCATGTCTAAGTCCTCTGCTGCAATTCCATTTTCAAGCTTCCAATCAAACGAGTTTATCAACGAACCCAACATCAAGGGAATCATCCTTATCGCCAGTGGCAAGCCTGGACAAATTCTTCGCCCTGCACCAAAGGGAATGAACTCAAAGTCCCGGCCACGAAAATCAATTTCCGAGTCCAAGAACCTCTCGGGCATAAATGAGGTAGCATTTGGCCATGTGTTCGGGTCACGACTAATAGCCCAAGCATTTACCAAAACTTTTGTCCCCTTGGGAATTTTGTAGCCAGAGACTTCAACATCTGTGTTCACTTCACGAGGAATTAAGAATGGAGCCGGTGGGTGTATCCTCAAGGTTTCTTTCACAATTGCTTGCAAGTAAGGCAAGCGTCCAACATCTGATTCTTCTATTGATTTTCCTTTGCCGATAACATTTTCAAGTTCGACTTTGGCCTTCTTTAGAACTTCTGGATTGCATAGTAGCTCGGTCATTGCCCACTCTACTGTACTTGAAGTTGTATCTGTCCCAGCATCAAATAGATCCTGTACAATAATTCTATTAGAGTATTTACGTGGTTTACTATAACTTTTATCAAAATCAAAATAGATCAAGACCTCTCAAAAATTCAAATATTCATTTTCACTTGTGTCAAATTTTTAACATTCCTAAACTATTGTATTGTAAAAATTTGACAATAATTTTTCTCTCTTTCTTATGATGGTACTTCTAAATAATTTTTCCATATCAACATTTTATCATAAAAATAAAAGAAATAACATAAATAATATTGGAGCAAAATTATCATATTATAAATCTTGATAGTATAACATGTCAAATTTAAATTTGGCATTGTCATGACATTAACTAACAGATACTCTTAAATAACAAGACCAACTTAATTTTCTAGAGTTCACTAAATTTGAGACAACTTGAGATCTCAAATTATTGCCCTGCTTGAAGGATTTAGAATAACTCAATTAACCTAGCTAGAACCATGTCATCATAAGACAGAGAGTAAAATGAAATGACTTTTAACCAAACAAAAAACCAACCACATAACATAGCCATACAAATAAGAGATGAGTAAACTAATGAACCAGCACACTAATTCCTTCTAAAGCCTAGCCAAATCGGAAAAGGACTCTGTTCGGCTGAGTTTTCAAAAATTATTTTCTCAATTTTTTTTTTAAATTAAAAATTAGTTTGACAAAAATTAAACGCCAACAAAGATATTTTGGAATTTTGAAGAGAAAATTATATTTCAGCCATTGTAAATCTTCAAATTTAGGTGAAAAATCAAAGATGGGCTGTTTACAAAAAGGTCATGTTTGTTTGGGTAGACATGAGCTTGGGATTGGACTAATAGTCCAATAAAATTATTAATCCGATGTTTGGTTAAACAATTGAAGTACGGATTAATTATTTTAAACTTGACTTTTAGTTAAGATAGGATACATAATCCAACGGATTCGTAATCCACAGGGTAGGTTATCCATTGTCATCCCTACGGAAAAGGACTCTGTTCGGCTGAGTTTTCAAAAAATAATTTTCTCAATTTTTTTTTTTAAATTAAAAATTATTTTGACAAAAATTAAACACCAACAAAGATATTTTGGAATTTTGAAGAGAAAATTATATTTCAGCCATTGTAATTGTAAATCTTCAAATTTAGGTGAAAAATCAAAGATGGGCTGTTTACAAAAAGAGAATGGAAAAATCGATCCATTGGCAACACCATGGGCAACCTTATAAGGCGAGAAAGTAAGCCCACGGGCTTGTTTCCTTGGAGGCCTGGTTTCAAATTGATTGCCAACAACGGGCCAACATAGATATGAGTTGTTGAAAATAATAATAATAATAATAATAAATCCTCTCCAAACAAGCATATCATGTCATGCCAATTATATCGAGTAATGATTCATATTACAAATATTATTTTTTACATTTGTGAATATTATTTTTTTTACATTTTTTATTTTTTTTGTAGCCTTCCTGATTCACTGTGGGGTTTCTATTTACACCCAAAAAAATATCAAATAAAATTTTAAATTTTGAGTTGCTATTATACCCTAACATAAATTTACTAATAAGGCTACACATTAAATCTTAAAATAAAATATATATTTTCTTTCTCATATACGCTAATCACTTATACATATTTTTTATATTCAAATCTCTTCATCTTTTTTTTTTCAAGTTTCAATTATTTTTTCTTCATCTTCTTTTTCACTCCAAAACTCCAATTCACCCCACCAAAATTCACTATTAACATCAATAAAATAAAATAAATAAATAAATAAAATTGAACGATGGATTCAACCAATCCTTTGTTCTTTAAAAAAATTTAAAAATCTTTTGTCGTTCTCCTTGTCATGGCCCAAAATGAGCTTCATAAGCAGAAGAAACATTCAACCAAACAAACTACAGAAGAAGCATTTTATTGACAAAAATATAAGATTAGCCTGTGGTGATCAACTCCTCAACCAAACACTCCTCACTTTTAATTTGTATATATAAATGCTATACATACAAATACGTATAGACCCATACATAGATAAACAGACATATATTTACATATGTAATCAAGTTCCAGATATATATATACACTTGCATACTATCAAAACATATAATCGGTGCTTAACTGTTTTTGACTAAGGGTTTTTCAGAATAGTGTAATTTAGGGTTAGGGTTAGTGTTGTGTCAATAAAATTACTCTTTTTAAATTGATTTGTATATTATTTGGGTGTATCACAAATTATAGGTAGTTTTAATTTTGAAGGGTAATTTGTGAAAAAACATAGGGCATATTAAAAAAAAATTATAACCTAAATAATTTAGTAGAATGTATTAAAAAATTAGGCGTACTAAATGATTTTTTTAAGTGCAAATAGAATCCCCATTAACTGTCTCTACTCAATGAAAACATTTTTTTGGGCCACTTAATAGGCTTTCGGATAAAAAAATATTTTGGTTGGCCTTGGTATGAGATATTTTCTTTGGGCTTCAGGGTAAATAAGTATATTTTTCGTTGGACCTCTTAAAAATGAAGTTCTTTTTCCAACAATATTTTGATGAGTATATTTTATTAATATATTTTATTTATTGTCTCATGTATTCTGTATTGATAATAAATATAAGTTATAAGATCCATTAGATTAATATAATGCTAATATATAAGATGATAAATAAAATATAACAAAAAAAACAAAAGAAAATTTGGGACCTTTTTTAAGGCCTAAAGCAATTGCTTAGATGGCTTAAGGGTAAAGCCAGTTTTGAGTAAAACTTATCATTTTGTTGTAGGTAAGAGCATCCATAGTGTGTTAAAAATATTTGTTAAAAAGTGTTATATGGTTAAAAAAAAAAATGCTAAAAGTAAGATTTATTTGTTGTGTTAAGTATTTGTTAATTGCCTGCGTAAAATAAGTATTTATTTTAATGAAAGTGCTAAGGGATGTTAATTAAAGTATATGTTTGGTAAGAATAAAATCCATTTCGAGAGAGTGAGAGAGTATATAGCCTATTAGCAATTGCTGTAGTAATTTTTTTATATTTCTCGTAATCTGTGTTGGGTGTAAAAATGACTCGTGGCCCGTGGCCTGAAGTCCGCCTGCGGCTTGAGATGGGCCTAGGCCATTGTTCTGAAGCCCGACTCGACCCATGGGCTCGGCCTGTGGCCCGACCCATTGGCTCGCTCAAGGCTCATTTAGGGCCTCGCCTGAAGCCCAGCCCACTCGGCTCGCCCAAAGCCCAGCGTATTTTTTAATAGAAAATAATAAAATTTTGGTAAAAAAAATTAAAAAAAAAAAAAAAAAGGTTAGGCTCATCCAAGCCTGGCCTAAGCCTGAGGCCAGGCCCAAGCCCACTGGCCAGCCCAAGGCCCGAATACTCTTGGGTTTAGGCTTAATTTTTTGGCCTGTGTCTCAGCTCGGCCCGAATTTTGACAAGAACCCACAAGGCCCGACATTGGCCGAGCCGGATCAGATTTACATCTTGCATTAATGAAATTGATTTTTACTGATTAAATATATATATAGAAAGAACAAAATAAATAAAATTAAAAATAAAGGTACAGAGTGCGTCAGACTTGGGTTCAACCGACTCTCATTTGTCTCTTGCCGAGATGTTTCTACAGTTTAAAAGTATAATGGTTTCGATCTTGTTTGGCATGTAACAATTTTAGTTAAAAAGTTAAAAAATTATTAAAAAAATTAAAAAATTTATAATTTATATCAAAAAATTAAAGTTTTATTTTTCCTATTTTTTACACATTTTTTCATAAAAAAGTAAAAAGTTATTACAAACATATTAATTTTTTATCTCATATTTTAACTAAAAAAATAAAAAATTACTAAAATAACGTGTTCCTAAAAAAGGCCTAAGGTTAACTATATATATATTTTAACTCATTACATGTTTAAAATATTTTAATAAGACCTCAACAGCTTCATTGGAGAAACAAAATATAGAAAATATTAGGGTTTCGTTTGAAAAGTTGGTTTTTGTAGTGGTTTTTTTTTTTTAATTAAAATATGAGATGAAAGAATTAATATATGTTTTTTTTTTAAAAAAAAAAACTTTTTACTATAAAATGTGTCAAAAAAATTGAGTGAATGAGTAGGAATATTTGACTTTATAGAATGAATGAGACCAATTTTTTTACTTTTTTTACATGAATTAAAATTTTTAATTTTTTTTGAATTTTTGAATAATTTAATTTTTTATTTTTTGCTAAAACAATTATTTACCAAACAACTCTTAAATCAGTGACCTAAATAGCTAACATATGACACTAATCATGTGGATGGTTGACAATTTCACTGAGAGCACTGAGTGAATCTTAATAGGATATTTAAAAATGTGTTTTAAGTGTTATATGACGCAAAATAATAAAAATAAAATTTAATTTTATATATTAAATATTTATTAATTTTTAAAAATATACTTTGATGATACAATTAAAATGTGTATTAAGGTGCACTACATATCCGTATTGACATGTGCAAAGCGAACACTACAAATTCGTCATTTCTCTCGTCAGCTTTTTTTCTCTTTTTTTTTTTACATGGTGTCAAGTGAAAAAATATTTATAAAAAAAATAAAAATATATTATAAACCAGACTCTGAACACTGAACTATTTAATATTAAGATAAATTATATTAATTTCTTTTGAAATTTGGAGAAAGTAAAATAATTTTTATAATTTTAACATAATTATACTAACTTCTTTTTTAATAAGATTAAATAGACAAAAACTAATGTAAATGGTATAAAAATAGAAAGATACATAAGATAAAAAAGAAAAAGAAAAAAGAAGTGATATATTATGAACTAAAACTTTCAAAAAACACTTAGTATAATTTTATCAAATTTATAAGATTAACTACATTTTTTTTAAATCTTAAAGATATCAATATAATTTACTCTTAATATTAATAGTACATATGTTTGTTTGACTTACAAAAAAAAAAAAATATAATGATATACAAACTATCATAGAACTAGAAATAATTTTTTCACTTAAGGTGGATTTTATATTTTGAGCAATACTACGTATCTCAAATTTGAGCTTGTCTCAAATTACTCGAATTTCATTTTGCTAGTCGTTCGGCTAAAGAGTTGACAGTCGCGGTCGACAAGGTGATAATTACGGTAGACAAATGTTTCACTCGGTCATCTGACTGGCTGACCGGTGAACACAAATTTGAAGCATTCGAGACAACTCAATTCGAGATATCAAAAATTTCTCTTATATTTTTATGCGTCTCACACATATATAAATAAATGTGTTTAATGCTGTGAATGATTTGTGCAAATAAAAGAACTAATTATAGCTAGGAAGTGCATTATAGAAGAGGGAAAATTAACAAAGAAGTAACTAATTAGAGGAGAAAAGGTACAAACCAAGCACAACCGTTCGATTTGAGTTCTGTCAAACTCATCACCATTCTCTTCACTGATATTAAGAAGCACATCAAGCAAATCATCGTTTCCCAGAGTCTTGCCCAATCTCCTCTTCTCCAAACGTTCATCAATCAATCGACCAAAGAGTCGAAGCACTTTCTCAAAACTACCCTTCATACTACGCCGTATTCCCTGTGGATCAATCTTAGCCAACTCCGGAAAATAATCCACCAAATTGGGCTTCCCTATCATCTCCATAATATTCAACACCAAATCCCTGAACTCTTCACCCCAATCCTCATTCGGATCGGCCAAATCCATTGAAAAAATTGTATTCGATAACAAATTTAACGAAGTCTTAAAAGCTGCTTGTCCAATATCCACTGCCACGCCTTCCTGACCACTTTTATATACGCTGGTTAAGAGTTCCTGTATTTTTTGGCACCTCAAATGTTGGTAAATATCAAGTTTGTTACTCGCAAAAATATTCAAATTCATGACTTTTCGAAGGCTTCGCCATCGTTCGGAGATGGGTAACCAAACCACAGAATATTGGTAATGGTCGTAGGCATAAAGTGAGTTGGGGACGGATCGGGTGGAGAATGCGAGGTCTTGCTTTTGGAGGACTTCTCTGGCTATGGTTGATGAAGAAATGACCACAGTGGTAATGTGGCCAAGTTTTAGGGTCATGATGGGTCCATGGGTCTTGGCTAGCTCAGCTAGGGATTTGTGGGGTTTGGACCCTAGTTTGAGAAGGTTGCCTATGATGGGGAGTGGGGTTGGTCCGGGTGGGAGGTTTTGGGGTTTGGTTGGTCTTACAAGTGCAAGGAGGGCCCTGAGGAGTGTGAAGGTTAACAATAGATACAAAACCAAGCTCAAGAAATCCATTGTCTCCAATGTTTTCCTAGGTGATTGGGATTTTTTTTTTTTGCTCATCTATCCTTGTATAACTCTCTCTTATATAGTACTATGACAAGCTATCTATCCTTGTATAACCAATTAGATTTCTCTCTCTTCTATAGTACTATGACAAGCCATCTATCCTTGTATAACCAATTAGATTTAATTAATTGGTCAATATGACTTTCTTAAAAATTTAATTCTAGTTATGAGTTTAACTCTTTTTACAGGAAAGTTGAATTATAATAAAAGTATTTGGTGCTTTGTAGAGGTAAAGAGATAAACTTTTATTAAAATAATAATAATAATAATAAAAATAATAAAAAGCTATCTTACGTTGTACTATGAAAAAGCTTTTTGACAAAAAACAGTAAATAAATGAAGTATCCAATTTGGACACTTGTTTGGTGACAGCTATATTAAAATAAAAAAAATGTGATTCACACCTTTTATTTCTGGATAATTTGGATTCAGACTGGTATATAGGGGTGAGCAGCGGATATATCGATCCGTCAAAACCGACCGAACCGAACCGATCCGCCGCATTTTGGACGGATGCGTGATGACGAGCGGACGGTTGCAGATTGATTTTCTCCAATCCGCCAATTTGGCGGACGGATGGCGGATTTGAGGTTTCTTTGGCTGCAACCGAACCGCCAAACCGCGAGCACCCTTAGTAATTTATAAGACTTTGTGTTTTCAATTTGTTTAAATATTTTGTTTGTGTTTTCAATTAAAAAAGAGTTCAAATATTTTGTTGAAAAAAAGTTTTCAACTTGAATATATTTTTGAATTGAAAAAAATAAACGTATTATTTATCTATATTTTGTTATTTTTAAATCTAACTCTAAAAGTAATAAATAAAAAATATGATATGCTGGTTGATTTTTGTTTTCAAAAACATATATAAATGTAACAATACAGGGATATACAATCTTTACTGTTGCTCTGTTTATGATTTTGGTAGTTTGAATTATTTTTATATTTTAAGAATTATAGATTGTAATATTTTATGTGGACGAGACATGTTGTGATTGTAATATGTGAATGAGGCATGCAGTGATTGTGATAATCTAAAGTTTCAAACTTTCTTTCTTTGGATGAGACATGCAGTAATTGTAATACTTTTTTAAGTCATTAACTGTAATATTTTTTTTTTTTAAGAAGTGCACAAGTTGAATTATGTTGAAAATTTATAAAATTTCAAACCGCCAAACCGATTCATATCCATCCGCCAAACCGCCAATCCGCTCAATCCGCATCCGCCGGATTGGCGGACGGATGCGGATTGATTTTCTTCAATCCGCTAATCTGGCGGACGAATGACGGATTGGAGGTTTCATGGCCGCAACCGACCCGCGCCCACACCTACTTGTATATATTAAAACAAAAAAAATATATATGATTCATACCTTTGGCTTCTAGACATTTTTCTGAGTTGAAAAAACTAAAATAATAAATAAATGAAGTATACAATTTGGATTCACCGGGGGGGAGGGGCGACAATTTCATGTACTAGCGTAATACTTGTATTATGCATGGTAATTAATTAATTTTAAAATTAAAATTAAACAATAAAAAAATATAATTAATTAAATTTTAATTATTTTTTCACAATTTTGTTCCCCCCTCTTTCTCCTACCATTAATATTATGTTTTAAGTTCTAAATAACAATATGAATCATAATGTAATTAGTAAAAACTATGATAAATTATAAAATTGCACTTTTTAATTTTTATTTTTAGAAACAAAAACTATATCTATGATAAAATATAAATACATTATTATTTTGTAAGAGTTTCATAATTTTAGTTTGCTATAAATTAGATGATATTGTAAATTTTGTGAAACTCAATAATAATAATAATTATTTTTTACTAATTACATTTTTTTTAGTATGCCATATAATACTAAAAATAATAATAAATTTTTTTGTGGAACTCAATGTAGCAAATTTTGTTTTAATCAAAAATTTGAATAACAAAATAAAAATGACAAAATGAATTATCAGTGACCCTTATCCTCTTATCTTTCCTAAAATCATCATTTATCTACCAAGCATAACTTTTAGATCTTCTCACAATCACTAGTTTTGGCATCTTACATTGGGCCATTTTTTTATTTTTCTCTCTCACTCACCTTTGCTTAATGGATCGAGCAAGGATCCTCTAGAGTGATTTTTTCCTAAAGTTTCTTAGAGTATTACATTGTGTGGTTGGGATTTATTGACAAGTCACATCAATTTTTCTGATGTGACTTGCCAGTAAATCTCAACCACACAATGTAGTACTCTAGGAAACTTTAGGAAAATTTCACTCTAGAGGATCCTTGGTGTTAATGGATCCTCATAGCATGGGTGTAATTTTTTAGAATTATTTTATAAACCATAAAACCCGTGCTTTGCACATGTTTAAATAAATAATTAAAAATTAATTTCCAAATGAAATAATAAAATAAAATTTATCTATAAGTAATAAATAAACTATGGTAAAATATTTTTTTTTAAAAAGTGCAATAAAATTACAAAAATTATATTTACAATGAAATATAAATGTATTTTGTCTTATAAGTTTTGCAATTTAGTTTATTTTATATCAGAAATGACACAATCATATAATAAATTATATTTGTTAATTTCTTAGCAATCCATTGTCTATTTTGTGAAAGTTTAAAAATATGTCTACTTAGACATAAAATTAGTTTCTCCTATGCCATAATTCACGAATACAAAAAAATAAAAGTTGGCTTGAGGATTTATAATTATGCTAGAGACTAAAAGTGATATAATTTACTTGACTCAACATTTATCTCATCTTGACCATGACCTAATCATTAAAAAATTGTCTTAGTCTATTTTTAAGTATGAACCACTTAATTTATTTATTTATTAAATTGGTGAATAAATATATGTTATTATTTTTTAGGATAAATTATAAATACACCCCCTGAGATTTACTTAAAATACAAATTGCCCCTTGTGTTTTGAAAAATTACAAATACTCTCTTATTAGAATTTTTTTATTTAATAGAATTAACTAAAAAAATGAAATTCATAATTGCTCTCCTATACAATAATAAAATTACCAAAATTATTAATTGAAACATATTTTTAATATCATTAAAAATTGTTAATTGACTTGATAATTTACTAATAAAATGGACGATTTGTTATAAAATTAGAAATCTCAGGGGGTGAAGTGTAATTTTTAAAATCACAGGAGGCGATTCGTATTTTAATGAAATTTTAAGAGGTTTATTTGTAATTTATTCTATTTTTTATAATAAAATATATAAGAGTTGGCTTAAGGATTCATAATTGTGCTAGACACTAAAAGTGATATAATCTAATTTACTCAACATTTATATTAACTTGGTCATGACCTAATTATTAGAGAATTGTCTTAGTTTATGTCTAAGTATGAATCACTTAACTCATTTGTTTATTCAATTTGTGAATACATATATGTTAGTATTTTTTATAATAAATTAATAAATATATACATGTTTATGCATAGTTAATAAAAAAAAAATTAAAACTTTGATAGAATTTTATATTTATATTTAAAATTATTACATGAATAGTTAAGTGTATTTATGGGTGAAAAAACTATTCAAGGTCAACCTAAAATATGGGCATTATTCTAACTATACTTTGGACTTGATTTAAAAGTTTGATCGATCAATTAATAAAAATAATTGGTAATAATCAATTTAAATTTTATATTTAAATTATATTATGATTTCTCAAGTTTTGAATATTATGAACTAATTTGAGGGATAGTATTTGCATTAAACATTAAAATTAGTTTAGAAATTAGATTAAAAGCAATTTTTATGCGAACGATTAAATTCTTGGAGAATTATCTTCGTTCATACCCAATTCTACTATATAAATAATATATATTGCATATATATTCATGTGAAGTTGTAGTGGCATAGTGGAGGGAGTGTGTTGCAAAAAGGCTTGGAATGTGTGATGGTTGGAGTTTGAAACTCAAGAAAAGCAAAAAAAAAAGTGGGTTTTTTTTTTCACAATTTAGTCGCCAAAACTCTTTATTTTGGCGACTAAACCGTTTAGTCGGCGATTGAGTGACTATTGGCGACTAAATTATTAGTCGCTAAAGACCTGATTTCCAAAAGTGCAAAACACTATTTGCGACTAAATTATTGGTCGCTAAAGACCTGTATTTTGGCGACTAAACAAGTTTTAGTCGCCAATACCTCCGCCGACCAGAAATACGCGACAAATGTGGCGACTAAAAAATTTTGTCGGGAAAGGTAAAATTTGGACTTTCGGCAACTAAAAACAGACTTTTAGTCGCCAAAAGTGATTTTTCTTGTAGTGAAAATGGGCGATTTGTTATAAAATTAGAAATCTCAGGGGGTGAAGTGTAATTTTCAAAATCACAGGGGGCGATTCGTATTAATCAAATCTCAAGAGTTTTATTTGTAATTTATTCTATTTTTTATAATAAAATATATAAGAGTTGGCTTAAAGATTTATAATTGTGCTAGACACTAAAAGTAATATACTCTAATTTACTCAACATTTATATTAACTTGGTCATGACTTAATTATTAGAGAATTGTCTTAGTTTATGTCTAAGTATGAATCACTTAACTCATTTATTTATTAAATTTGTGAATACATATATGTTAGTAATTTTTTTATAATAAATTAATAAATATATGCATGTTTCTGCATAATAAAAAAAATTAAAACTTTGATAGAATTTTCTATTTATATTTAAAATTATTACATGAATAGTTAAGTGTATTTATGTGTGAAAAAACTATTCAAGGTCAACCTAAAATATGGGTATTATTCTAACTATACTTTGGACTTGATTTAAAAGTTTGATCGATCAATTAATAAAAATAATTGGTAATAATCAATTTAAATTTTATATTTAAATTATATTATGATTTCTCAAGTTTTGAATATTATGAACTAATTTGAGGGATAGTATTTGCATTAAACATTAAAATTAGTTTATAAATTAGATTAAAATCAATTTTTGTGCGAACGATTAAATTCTAGGAGA